CGAATTGCATTTAAAAAATAAATAATAATTAATTAATGAATCTTTCCTTGAAATTAAATAATTTAATAAATTATAAACATAAATAATAATCAAAGACTCACTTTCATCATTTCACAGAAATATAATCAAATTGAAACAAAATTCCTTGATTATTTTACAATCTGGATCGTTAATTCACCGACGTCATCATTATTTATAAACAATGGACTTAATCTATTGTATACATTTGACAAGACAACTTGTTCATTAGCATCTTGGTTGACGTGTACACATAATGTACCGACCACTTGTCCATAAGAATTTTGCCAAAAATGGGTAGCAGTTAAAGATAAAATTGTTGGATCAAGCTGGATCTAAAAATTATTTAAAATTATATTTAATAATATTATAACGATTATAACGAAATATCGAATATATAAGGAAATAGTAATACCTCGCGCATACATTCATCTAAACTTCTATATGCTACTTCAGGAGTTGTTTGTAATAGAATTTTACCCAATGCTATTGCAACTGGACCAGCAAGATAAAATATGAAAAAAGATTCCAAAATAGACATTAAATTATCTAACCATCCTAAATTTTGGCTTTAATATGATCATCAAAAAAAAAAAAAGATAATCAAAAGCAAATCAAAAATAGAACTTGAATATATAAATTTTTTTGTTATATAAATTACTTTATACTAATCCCGAACTCTTACTTTTGTTCCATGAGATAACTAATTGTGATCACTCCAACTCCACAAAATAATGTTATCAAAGTAAAAAAATTTATAAATCCAAAATTTAGCTTCTCATAATAAGATTGATACATCCTGCCATTAAATGATATAGATTTTAACACTGTAAATGAAAATAAAAAATGAATTGATGAATCGTGTAAGAATTAATTAATCGTGAGAGAATTAATTAATCAATTAATCAATCAAGATTTAAAAATGAAAAAGATGCCTACATGCACAAAACCCTAAATGATTTTGGTAACCAATTGCGGATATTAATGTCACACAAAGAGCAATTAAAAT